CCCCGCCATTCCAGGCCTTCCCGCACCCCGGATACTCCCGCCCCTTCCCCTGCCCCTTTCTGGGTCCCCGCCCCATTTCCGCTGAGCTACATTCGGGGCTCCTCGCCTGCTCCCACCTTTGCCCAGTCACCGCCCCTTCTCCTGCCCTTTCCTCTAGTCCCCGCCCCATTGGTCCTGCCCCTCTCAAATCCCGCCCTTTTCTCTAGTCCTCAGCTCTTCTGAGCTCCGCCCTTGCACCTTGTCCTCAGGCCCCCTGTCCCCCCAGGTCACGCCCTCTCTTAGCGCCCCATCTCATCTCGGCCCCGCCCAATTCTGCCTCGCCCTATAGGCTCCGCCCTCTCCTCGCGGCCCCACCCCTGGACCCCTCCCTCCCCTCTCTGCCCTGCCTCTCCCCTCCCCCGCCCCATAACCCCATCCTTTCCTCTCGGCCCCGCCCCTCATCTCGGCTCCGCCCCTCCTCTCTTCGAGGCCTCGCCATCTGGAGACCACGCCCCTTCTCGGCCCCCGCCCCTCACATCTTTCCGCTCCTCTCTAGGCCCCGCCCCTTCTCGGGCCCCGCCCTCTCTCGGCCCCGCCCTCTCTCGGCCCCGCCCGCACCTTGCAGCTGTCCTTGCGGTTGCTCTCCGCGCACATCATGCGCTGAGTGATGGCGCCGTCGTGGTAGGTGCGCAGGTTGCAGGTGGCGCGGTCCAGCACCGGCAGGCGCACGTGCTGCAGGCGGTCCGGCCGGCGGCCCGTGTGGCTGACCACGCCCCAGCCAGTCACGTCGCACAGCGTGCCGGCTGCCACATCTCGGTCCTCACGCTGCCAGGCCAGAGTTCGTACGTTGGGGCCCAGAGTGGCCTTCTCGGACAGCTGGGGGCACAGGAGAAAGTCAGGGCGCGGAGAGGGAGGCGGGCAGCAATAGGGGCTGTAGCTGGACTCCCAGGGACCGCAGGCAGGACAGGGCCCAGTGGGAGGGGAAAGGGGTCAGCAGGAGGGACGGCAGGCAGGACAGGGCCCAGTGGGGAGGGGGAAGGGGTCGGAGCAGCATCGCACTCGCTGACCTGCAGCAGGAGGAGGTCGTGGTCAATAGTGTCCGGCTGGCTGTCCGGGTCGGGCACCGCGCGTCGCACATCGTAGAGGCGCTTGGAGGGCTCGGGCTGCGACAGGGAGTGAGCGCCCAGGAGCACCTGCACCTTGCCGCCGGCCCTGGGGACAGAGAGTGACCAAAGTCAGAGATCAGAGCCTGCACCGTGCCTGCCCCTGTCCCACGTCCCCCGTCACTCACGCGTCCTCCAGGCAGTGCGCCGCGCTCAGCACCCACTGCTCCGCCACCAGGAAGCCGCCGCACACGTGCGCACCGTTCACCTGCACCGACGCCATGTAGGGCCACGCGTGGGCCTGGGCTTCACGGCCTCCCAGGATGCGGCCCCGGGGCTGTGCCTCTGTGAGTGGACAACAGGACTTGAGGATGCAGGAGGGCCACACACCTGGGGATCTGGGACCCGCGTGAAGCCCTCAGACCACTCTACTGGTCCCAACAGCCAGGTTCCCCATCACAGCAGCCCTGCGGCCCAGGATGGCAAGCACTGCCCCGGGGCTAGGCATGGATGCAGGAGAAGAAGGTTGGCCTGGTGGGGCCTGGATGCAGGCCTGGGGTACACCCAGCCCTAGACACAGGCCTGGCTGCCTCAAATTCTCCAAAAAATGGGGCCACCAAGCCAGACACTCCTGCTGACCCAGCGAGGCCCTCTGGCCACCAGCTATGAAATGTCAGCGTCCTGATTGGGGGGCACTCTGGAAACTTCGGGTTCAGATTTTGAGAATTCCTTGGCTTTGAGAGCCTTCTGAGGAGATGTGGTGGTACAAGTGTTAAGTGCTCAGTTGTTAACCAAAAGTTTGCTGTTCGAAGTCCATCCTGTGATTAAGGCCAGCGAGCCCGTGGACATGCCAGTCGGTCATGGGGTCGCTGTGAGTCCAAATGGAGCCCACAGAATTGGAAGGTGGGGGCGTGCAGAACCCAATTCTGATAATTCCTCAGCTCTGAGAGCCCTGGTGGTGCAGTGGTTAAGCGCTCTGCTGTTAATGGGAAGGTGGGCAGCGGCCGGGAGAGGACAAGGCCTGGTGGTCAGCGGCTGTACCCTCACAGCCGGTTAACATCGTGGGGCAGGTCCACCCTGTCCTGGGGGTGCCCTGACCCGATGGCAGCCACACTCACAAGGATGCTGCCTCCCACCCCCACCTGCACTCCTAATGGGGCCAGAGGTTATCCTGGGTAGCTGGCCCATTCCAGGCTGGGGGCCCTGACCCCATGTCCACTCACCACACAGAGAGGCTCCTAGGAGGACTAGAGCCACCAGGCACACAGAGCTGTCCACCATGCTGCAGCTGTGTCCATGACACTGACCAGGCGGGGCTGGGGGGCTTTTATGCGCCTGGAGGGAGGTGGGGAGCTCCCACAAGCCCCATCTGGTGGGTGGGCAGCGGCCCAGCTGGAGAAAGTGGAACTGGCCTCCTCCCTCCGGGGGTGGGAGTGGGGGCAGGGGAATATGTATCTTTAAGACTGCACCAAGAGCAGGTTGGGGTCCCCTTGCATCCCTGGCCCGTGACCCTGGCCCAGGCTGTGCCTGAGTGAGAATAGCCCCTCAGCATGGGGAGGGGGCACGGGGGGGAATTGAACCTCATTGGCTCCCCCCACCCCCACCCCAAATGTCCTTACAGCCCTGATTTCACAAGGTTTGGAGCCCACAATTTGTAAACAACCACTTCCTCGTGTTATGCCCTCCCTTCTTCCTCCTCCAACTTGGAAAGGAGGTGGGGTGGGGGTGGAGTGGTCACACTTGTCCCTGTCCTTGCAGCCTCTGAGGCTACCAAGGTCAGAAAAGTGGCCCACAGGATCAGGGAGGGGCAGGGGAGCTAAGCCCAGCTGGGTGGAGCCTCCAGGGGGATTTACAGACAAACTTGGGGGTATGTGCCTTAAGGTCCGGCTAGATCCAGGTGCCAGGACAGTGTCAGAGCTCTGCCACTGGCATCTTTCTTTGTTCAACAATAGTTTCTCACTTGGTTAATTCTTTTGTAGTTCCAGGACCCCGCTCCCAAAACGAAGGGCTCATATCCCATCTCTCTGCCTCTGATTGGTCAAGCATCATCACGGGCTCCTTCACAAACTGATGGATCAGGAGATGGCATGTTCTGATTGGCTGAGCATGAGCCACATGGACTGTGTAGGTGGAGATGCTGGGTCCAGCTTTCTTGACTCCACGGGGTGGAGATCTGGAGCTAGAAATAGGTGGGTGACGTGCTTGTCCACGTGCAAACAGCCAAGGGACATGTCCCCCTCTCTACTTCCCTCAGACCAGTGGACTGTGTCACACACAGAAAGAGAAGGAGGAGGAAATAATTCAACACACCGGACTGGTTACATCCTACAGGTGGTGTATAGCATGTTCCTGTTGCCTACTGACCAGAAGCCCAGAGGTTCAAATCCGCCGGCCACTCAGAGGGAGCACGGTGGACAGGCCCCTCCTATTATGATCCGCAGCCCCAGAAACCGGTCCATTCCTGTGTCGAATCCAGAGGAAGCCGTTGGTCGGTCGCTGAGCCAAAGCCTGGTAAGATGTGGAGTCTAGCTTAAGTGCTAGGAGGAATATTCTCGACTGCAGCAGAATCTGGAAACACACCAGGCAGGGCTGTGCAGTCAGGCCTCCAACTCCTCCACACACACCCCCGGGCTCTGGGCTGCGTGGCAGAAGGCGGTGTGTGCTATGAGCAAAGGCCATGCTGGGCAGAGAAGCTGGCACATGGGATGTGACAGGGAGCTGGCCAGGGCCACCTGCGGGAAGGGCAGGGCCGGCAGATGGACGGCACCAGCAAAAGTGCAGAGGGAGAGCTGCACTCCAGTAAGAGGATGTGGCAGGGAAGAGGAGGGAGCGAGGGAGGGTACCCCGATATCGCGGGGAGGACACGGACTCTTATAAACCTTCAGGGAAGAGAAGAGAGCGTACCCCAATGTCGCGGGGAGGATAGGGGCTCTCATTAACCTGCAGGGAAGGGGAGGGATCGAGGGAGGGATATCCTGACGTCATGAGGAAGACATGGGCTCTCATTAACCTGCAGGGAAGAGGAGGGAGCGAGGGAGGGGTCTCCCAACGTCGCAGGGAGGACGTGGGCTCTCATTAACCTTTGGGTTGGTAACTGTCACTCTGAACCACGTGATGACAGAGACGTCTCATCACAGTCCCCATGGAGCAGGCCTTTGCCAGCCTCAGACCACCCTTCTGAGCCGCTGCCCCGGACCTGCCCTGCATTAGGTCAGGGAGTTGCCTTGGGAAATATTCCCTCTGCCTCGCAGTTGTCAGAGGGGAAACTGAGGCTAGAGGAGGCGTAGGACTGTCTACACCACCCAGTGAGGACTAGGCAGGCCTGGGACCGAAGTCCTGGGTGGGTCCTTCCCAGACAATTGGTCACCCTCTATACGAGGAAACTGAGGCTCAAGGTCACAGCTGCTGACCAGGGCGCTCACCCTGCAAACCTGACGTCCCCGGTGGAGGGACGCCCGCTCCTCGCCTCAGTGCTCGGCCTTTGCCACCACCTGATGGTAAGGTGCAGAAACGCCCAAGACTCCTTGACCACGTGCAGTGCCCGTGGCCGCAGAGAACCAATTCTCAGACACGCACTACAAAACAGAGAGACTTTTATTGTGCTGGGCTCGGGAGAACGCAGTGTGAGCGGTGAGCGGGGCCCAGGCAGTCTGTCCTAGTGGGTCCTGCTTGTAGTGTCCCTGGGGTGGCGAGGGGGCTGGCTGTCCTGGTTCTGGATAATTTGGTTGATCCAGTTTGAGAATTGTGCCACGGGAGCGAAGGCATCTGGGTAGACGCCGGAGCCACAGCCCCCTCGGATGAAGGAGTCAATGCCGTGGATCACACCATTGCAGACCAGGGGGCCGCCCGAGTCCCCCTGTGGAGGCACACATGGTCAGGAGGCTGGGATGCCTGCTTCCGCCCCCCGCCCCCGGGTGCTGTGGGAAGTCCTTCCTGGAGTCTAACTGCAGGTGGTATTGCTGCAGCAGGAGCAGGCTAGGACACAGGGCACGTACAAAGCAGATGCCAGCGCGTCGGCGACCCACGAGTGTGCACACATTGGCGCGTCGGCAAAGGCGCGTCACCACGGTCACGTTGAGCTCTTGCAGGACGCGGGGTGGGGGCCGGTTTGTGCCCAGCTGGCCCCAGCCCATGGCTAAGCACTGTGTTCCATCGCCCACACCCTGGTCTTGGGTGGGCAGCCGGGCCACCTGTACGTTCGCATTGAGAGTGGCCGTCCCATTGAGCTGTGGGAGGCAGAAGGAGTCACATGAGGTAGGTACAGAGACCCTTGCCCTCTCGCGCCTCAGTTTCCCCACCAAGGCAAGAAGTGGGCTCTAGGGTTTCCTAGAGCAGGCCACCCCCTTGGCCATCGGCTCCCCCAGCCTCAGTTTCCCCCGCGGTGAGAGGAGAGCAAGGAGCCCTGATAGCCTAGTGGTGGGGAGCTGTGTTGCCAACCTACAGGACGTGGAGGGTCCCCAGCTGCTCTGCGGGAGAGGCAAGGTCTTCTGTGTGATGTCCAGACTCTGAAAGCCCGCTGGACGCTCAGCGGGGAGTCAGCCCCACTGGACAGTACTCGTGAGCTAAGCAGGGACAACGGCTTGGGCCATCGCTGGACATGGACCAGCCGGACGCGGCCTGACCCTCCAGGGCCTTGGCCTCGGTGTGGGCCAAGATGAGCCATGATGCTTCCTGCTGGGGCTGAGGGTTTCTCCCCAGGGCCCATGCTCTGTGAGTGGACAGTCTCCCCAGTTTGCAGCGGGATCGTCCCCACCTACGTCCGTTGCTAAGTGAGGGGACGGTGGCGCAGCTTGGCCCTCACTGATCAGACAGGACCCCGTTCTCAGAGCTGGCGACCTGCCTGCTTAGGGCTTTCCCACCTCAGGTCCGTGTCGAGGGACCATTGGGCCCAGGTTTCCCCACCCCACCCCGGGCAGGGTCCTGCTGGCCACCTGGAGAACCACAATGTCGTTCTGCAGGCTCGTGGGGTCGAAGCCGTTTTCAAAGACCCTCTGGATGGCGAACGTCTGCCGTGTGGCCTCACGCTGCCGCAGGTCATGGGCGCCCAGCACTGCCTGAACCGACCGGAAGTTTCTGCAGGAGGGGGTGAGGCTGGGTGGGGACAGTGCTGGCGGGACCCCGGGGTGGGAAGATCCAGGGCAAGCACTTCTTCCCCCCTCACCCCTCCACGACATCTCCACACAGGACTCAAGAAGCCATTGATAGGGGTACACACACCCCACCCCGACACCACACAACATCGATGGGGGGCCCTAGGTGTGGGAAACACCCTTCTCTGCCCCCCCAGGATGCCTCTACTTGGGATTCAGGAGAAGGCATTGATGGGGGCCCCTGAGTGTGAGATCCCAGAGCACACCCTCCCCCTGACATCTCTACAAGGGGCTCAAGGAGGGTGTTGATGGGGCCTGGAGGCCCAGGCTGCCTGCTGTTTGCCTGCCCTGCTCAGCCCGGGCGTGAGGTTCTGAGGAGGGACACCCGGGGACTCACAGGCCGTCCACACAGTGTGCCGCAGACATGACGAATCGTGGGTTGATGAGGGTGGCCCCACAGAAGTGACCCCCACGTCGCTGCAGTGACACCATGAAGGGCCAGGCGTGGGGCTGGGCTGGGCGGCCACCCACAATCTTTGAAGCCAGCGTGGGGCCTGGGGACACAGGGTGGAAGTTGTGAGCTGCAGCCAAGGCCACCAGCCAGGCCCTGTGAAGTCCCACCAGTCCATGGGGTCAGGCTCTTTGCATCCACTTCCCAGACGAGGAGACTGAGGCAGAGGGTGGAGAAGTCTGCTCAGACTCCCTCATCCAGGGCACAGCCGAGTTAGGAGCCCCAGAGGGTGTATCTGGCCCCAAGGTTTAGACCCCCATTTCTAGGCCCCATTCTGTGGCCCCGTCACTCGGAAACTCAAGACTCTTCTGAACCAAAGAGTTCCTTGTGTCAGCTGTGACCCCTCCCTGAGGATGAGGGCGCTGTGTGGTTTAAGCTGTGGGGAACAGGCAACCAGGGACAGAAGGACAGACAGACCCGACCCCCACTCACCACCCAGCAACACAGCCAGCAGGAAGGGGCCCAGGGCAGGGCTTGTGGGTCGCTGGCCACAGGTCATGGTGGATCCGGCACTCTGGGTCTCTGCCTGTCCACCCGCCTGGCCCCTCTTATAGACCCAAAGCTGTGAGGCCGTTGAGGTTGCCAAATGTTAGGGCTGCCCCCCCCCACTTCCTTTCCCCAGTCCAGAGGGATGTGGGGGATGAGGGTAGGAAGAGCGGTGGGGTGCAGGAGGCTGGAGCCTGAGGTGTTCGGGTGACAGTTCCAGTAACAAGTAGTCAGTGTGTC